CCGTACGGGGGCGCTTCGCGCCCCAAAATCCTTACGGGGGCCACTGTAAAGTCCTACGGGCCCTTACGGGGATACCGAAAAAAGGCCAAAAACTTACGGGCCCCGTACGGGTTGTCGAACCCTGGTTGTCACCCAACCTCCCCCTCCCATCCTTCCTCCTTCGCCCATTGTCTGTGTTTTATCGTACCCACCGCTTCCTTCCTCCTTCGTGGCTATGCGGCGGTCAACTACGGCTGCGGCTGCGGCTGCGGCTGGGGCTTTATCGCACACAGGTTCTGAAGACGCGGGCGAAAGCGATGAGGATGGCGGCGGTGGCAGTGGCGAGGGAGGTGACCCGCGGGTCGGTGTGGACGAGGATGATGATGATGAGGACCCGTACGGCCTGCCCATCACGCACGAGGTACGGCAGTACACTGAGGGGATGATGGGTTTACATCGGGTTGTGCGGTACGTCATGGTGCGCCGGCGGCATCTGGCTTGGCAAAGTGCGTGTGGGAAAAGAGTGCGTGTGGGAGGAAAGTGCGGGGGGGGAGTGCGGGGGGGGGGGAAGTGCGAAAGGGGGGAGTGCGGAATGGGGGGACGAAAACACCGGCGGGTCACANCTCCAAGGAGGTGTGGGGGGTTGAAGGGTGGAGGTGGCGGGCAACGGGCGAGCCTAGCTCTACCGGGTTCTCACGAACAGTCGCGACCGTCCACCTGCCCTTCTTTGCCGCTGCCACCCCGGTTGCCCATCCCGTGTGTGTTTTGCTGTTTGCATTCCCCGCCTTTCTCGCCTCCTCCAAACATACATACACGCACACACACACACGCATGTACACACATGCATAAGATTTTTATTGCCGTCCCAACCAATTTACACGAAACTCGCTTTCCTCAATTCGAGACTACCGTGATCCCTTGGAACCTGTCCAACCGTCCAAAATAAACTGCCTACCATGTAGGATCCATCCTTAACTACCTACCGACTATCCTAACTGAATTAACTAACTAACGAACTACCTACAGGCGGTTCTCAAGGGTCACACCAAGGCCGTGTCGTGTCTGGATATAGAGTATACTGGAACACGAATGGTGAGGCGGGGCAGGGGAAATGAGAATGTCGTACGAAGATCTGTCGTACAAGGTCTCGGATTTAAAACGAGGTGGGAAATTACATATTATATATTTGCATGCCATGCTTTATACTTCCTGTTATTAAAGTAGGCGGGTAGAGCAGGAAAGCGCATCGGGACGCATCGGAAGTTTGAATAATAGGGCGAATGCCGACATGGGAGGTTGGAAGAGGGACGATGGGGTTGGCGGGAAGAAGTTAGGCTCCGATGGCTCCGATGGCTAGGGGCCCCGTGGGGAGCGGGGTGCGATGGTGGGTCCATGCAGCGATACGCCGTGTTTGCCTCCTCCTCCGCCTCTGTCTCCTCCGCCTCCTCCGCCTCTGTCTCCTCCGCCTCCTCCGCCTCTGTCTCCTCCGCCTCCTCCGCCTCTGTCTCCTCCTCCTCCGCAGGGCTCGTCCAGCGTCAAGCCTCGCTGTCGCAGTAGCGTAGCACAAATACAAAGAGCTGGCAACGGAAACGGCAATAGTCCTCATTCTAGGCTATTTCCTAATCTAGCTGCCCCCCCGCCCGCCCGCCCGCCTGCCACGCAGCACAACACAACACCGTCCCACCCCCCACCCCCCACGTTGTGGTGCCCCGGCCGCCTCCCCCCAGGTCACCGGGTCGTACGACTACACGGTTCGTTTGTACGACTTTCACGGTATGAAATCGGACATGCGGAGCTTCAGGTTCGTTTTCACCAGCTTAAGATTTCACACCTGTTGGACCGAACTGGGTCGGAATGTACCGTATGCTGAGCTACGAGTATGTGTGTGTATGTATGTATGTATGTGTATGTATGTGTATGTATGTGTGTATGTGTATGTATGTATGTATGTATGTATGTATGTGTGTGTGTATGTGTGTGCGTATGTATTTATGTGTGTGTGGGGGGGGGATCTGTTCCCCGTTGCGCCCCTTGTACTTGGATCCTAGCTCTGATGTCCAGGGAGCTGATGGCCTGATGATAGCCCCGACCAGTTTCCCCCACCGCGGTGCCCCTCTCTCCCGCCCCCTCTCCCTCCCGCCCCCTCTCTCCCGCCCCCTCTCCCTCCCGCCCCCTCTCTCCCGCCCCCTCTCTCCCGCCCCCTCTCTCACCCCCTCTCCCGCCCCCTCTCACATACTTGTGGCGTGTCAGAGTCTATATCCTCCTTGGCATAGAGCTTCGCTCGTTCACGTGGTTCGTGGTTCGTCTTACACTCCCCCCCGTCCCCCCCCCGTCCCCCCGCTCCCTAGGGATCTGGAGCCCTCAGACGGCCACCCAGTGCTCTCCGTGTCGTGGTCCCCCTCGGGTGATGCGTTTCTGGTGGTGACGGGTGCCGCGCAGGTATGTATGTATGTATATAGGGTGTGTGTATGCTTGTATGTGTGTGTTTGTATGTGTGTATACATGTGTTTTCGGGTCGGGAAAGGTGTTCCTGGCTGTAATGCTTCCCCCGTCTCACGTTCAGTCTGCGTTCTGCCTTCCCCACTATGCGTGAGTTACATATGGACACATATATTAACACACCTACATACATACACATTTATGCTTAGGTCAGGCACTACTGGTAAGGCACGGACCATTGCCCCGGGGAGATCCCGGGATCGAGACCTGTCAGGGTCGAAAATCCTTCCCCAACATCACATATCATGCATACATACATACATACATACACATGGGAGTTCCGCCTTACCTGAACCTCTTCTTCTCTAAACTTCCCTTCCCCCTCCCCCTCCCCCCTCCCCCTCCCTCTCCTCCTCCCGCTCTCAGGCCAAGATGTACGACCGTGACGGCCGCGCCCTGGGGGAGTTCGTACGGGGCGACATGTACATCCGGGACGCTCGCAACACGAAGGGGCACATTAGCGGCCTGACGGGGGGCTGGTGGCACCCCACCGACCGGTACACCGCCATCACCTCCAGCGAGGATGGCACGGTGAGGATTTTGTGAGGGCGGGGGGAGGGGCGGGGGGAGGGGCGGGGGGAGGGGCGGAGGGAGGGGCGGGGGGAGGGGCGGGGGGAGGGGCGGAGGGAGGGGCGGGGGGAGGGGCGGGGGGAGGGGCGGGGGGAAGGGCGCAGGGAGGGGCGGAGGGAGCGGCGGGGGGAGGGGCGGAGGGAGGGGGGGGAAGTGGGTCTGATTGCGAATCAGGTAGCTGTTGTTAAAGGTGTGGATGCGGGGCCTGCGCGGGCTTCTCTCGGCGGGAAGGGGCCGGACACCCCAAACGATTGGTGATTATTCCACACACGGCTACCAATTAAAACCTTAAAACCCTAAAACCCTAAAACCAACTACCCCGGAATCCCTTTCCGCTCGGGTCCCAACCGCCTCCGGCCCCCGGCGGGTTCGCGGTTGGTCCCGTTCGAACCCCGTTCAGGACATTTTTTCATATTGTCTCTTCCAGGTCGTTCTCTCATTTTTTTGCATCGGAGGAGACCTGCACATCCCCACAACCGTTCAACATTGCCGTACTCACTCTCCCCCCCTAAACCCCAAACCCCCCAACCTCCCCGCCGTACTTCCCCCGGCGGGAAACCCCCCAGGTGCGGATCTGGGACACGCACAACGTCATGCAGAAGACTGTCATTAAGCCCGCCTTGGCGCGACCCGTGCGTACGGCAATAACGGCTGTGTCGTACAACACGACCGGATCGCTCATTGGTGCGGGGCTGGCGGACGGCACGGTGCAGGTTTGGAGTGTGGGAGGTGAGATCACCCCCGCGGGTGCAGGCGGGCGGGGCGGGGCGGGGCGGGGCGGGGCGGGGTGGGCCGGGGCGGGGCGTGGAGAGTGTACGATAAAAGGCGGTGACCCCGCAATTCGTTGCGGACGGGAAATTGTTTGTTGTAAGAGTGCAGAAAATCAGTCAATGCAGTCAATTTTTAAACAGTACTTTGGCAAAGAGAGTGTTGTGTGTGTATGTATGTGCGTATGTATGTGTGTGCTTTCCTTAAGGAGGCCAGTACAATTTTCGACATCTTAATTCTCTCCCTTCCGGTGCCTCTCCCCCGTCCTCCTCCTCACCGCTCCAAAACCACCACATACCTACGGACGCATGACTCCAGGGAAGTTTGGCGTCTCGGCGGCTGTGGCGCAGGTGATGCCTCCGAAACCACAGGTGCGTTGCATTCGGCGGCAACGAAGCCAGCCATGTAACCAGTTGCGTTTTGATGAATTGTAGCACCAAAAGTGGAGTTAAACGCGCGTGCTTGAATTTGATACCTACTACCCGCCCGCTTTACTGTGTACGACAGTGTAGTACAGTTTGTACGAGCTTTTACCTCTGTCTCATCAGGCCCTCTATAACCCTTCGCCTTAATGCCGCCAAAGTCTTTACACGCGCCCGGTCTCCACCTCCAAGCCTCCCCACCTCCAACAAGCCTGCGTGCACTCTCCACCTCTCCACCTCCCCACTTTGACTTCTTGCGCCCGATGCCCCTTCTTCCTCTACATGTCGTACATCCAACCAACCCCCCGGCCCACTTCCCTCCTCCTAACCGCACATACACACACACACGCGCGCGCAGATGGTTGAGAAGCAGGGCTGGACGTACGTTAGCAAACCGAACCAGCTGATCCGAGACGCTCATGAACCCGTAAGTGGGGGGCCCGGGGAGGGGGGGGGAGGGGAGGGGAGGGGGGGTTATAACCGTTGGCGGTTCGAGCTGGTGGGGTGGGAGATTGGGGGTGAGGATGAGGGGGAGTTTGGTGGGTTTCGGCTGCCCCACATGACCCTAAGTTGTAACCCGTGTTGCCCCCTGATCCCACTTACCCGCGTCCCCGCCTCCCCGGCCCTGTGTGAGCTCTCCCACCTCGGTCCCCGTGAAACACACATACACACATACAGACGTACAGACATACATACTTACATATCCACAAGCGCAAGCACGAGCACAAGCACACACGCCAGGCGCCTGTTGCCGTATTTGCCGCCGTATTTGCCTTGCTCCGCGGGGTCCTACTTTTGGAGGGTCTTGTGTATTTCCCCCCCGGGGGGCCGGGGGGGGGGGAGGGGGGGAGGTGGTACTTCCTGTGGCTTCTGCGGGTTGTGTTGTGTTGTGTTGGGGTGGGAAGGACGAACCACACACGATTGAAGCTGCTCCCAGGGCAAGAGAGTAACAAACGTAGAACTGACCGAAAGGCGTCCGTGGCGACCGTGACCTCGGGATGACGAAGTGGAGAAGATGTCGGAAAAACTACGTACCTAAGGGGTGGGGTGGGGTGGAGTGGGGTGGGGTGGGGTGGGGTGGGGTGGGGTGGGGTGGGGTGGGGTGGGGTGGGGTGGGGTGGGGTGGGGTGGGGTGGGGTGGGGTGGCTCGTGCTGACTGCGGGGTGACTTCCCCCCTCCCCCCCGCCCCCCCAGGGTACCGAGGTGACGTCATTGTGCTTCAGTTCCGACAATCACTCGCTGATCAGCCGGGGTACGGATGGAACGCTGAAGATCTGGGACCTTAGAAGGTGAGTAGGTCAGCGAGGAAGGGCGAGCAGACGAGCGAGCGAACGCAACACAGGCAAGGGGCAAGGGAGGGCGCGGGAGGGCGAGGGAGGGAGGGAAGGGGACCCGGACGACGTGTGCAGCGCACTTAAGCTGTGCGGACTGTGTGGTTGCGGACTCGCGGGGGGCCCCCCGCCACACACACACACACACACACGCGTGTGTGTATTCTTCCGTGGCCTCTTGACTAATAGCCGCGATGAACAGCGACATCACATCGGCGGCTGCGAGACACAAACACATGCACATACATATATACAT